TTGCAGGCATAATCTATGTGATTCCCACCAAATGAGTGGGTAGGACCTAGTACATTGGTTCCTTCCTTTCCTGAAAGTCGAGGTGTAGGAGGTAGGGAAAGATGCTAATAAGTATGTAGTTGTGAGTGATTTGTTTAGCAAAGTTAATGGTCAAACGTGGAGCTCTGGTGTGGGTATTGGTCAATTTGGTCACCCTGCTGGATAAAAGATGGGATATTTCAGAAACAAGGATGACGGCCATCTCACTACCTTCCAGAATAAAGTGACAGACACTGAGCATCCCTGGGCATGGAATCGCCTCAACACAGGCACAGAGAGCTGAGACGCCATAGAAGTGACGGCAGCAGTGGCAGAACCAAGAGCCTCACACAGAGTGGCAGACTTCCTGACCATGGAGGAAAACGACCCCCTGACCATGTGTGTTTGTGGGCCACCCGCCCTGAACAGCTGTCAGCATTCTGCCAGGTTTCCACTGACCTTGGATCCTCTTGGTTCTGCACTCCCTGCCTGCTGCTCCCCTTTCCCACATCAGCTACGTGGGTCTGAAGAGGGCTCCAGCTCCCAGGGAACCCTGGACTTGGGTCAACCTGGGCCAGGGCTCCTTCTTGATGTAAAATTGCTTCTGGATATAAAAGTCCAGTGACTTAATGAGTGTCACTGGACTTGTTTCTCTAGACATCTTAGCTTAACACAAACCATGTATTTGGGAATTTTATCTGTAAAGTTTGTGGGGGCCTTGCAATGAGGTCTTGAACTTAGCAGAAGTGTAGGGACTACCCTTGGAGGGGCGCTGGGGGTCAGTATTGGTAGAGGGAGTTAGAAAGTGGAGGCATGTCAGTCTACAGTGTCATAAAAATGGATCTGGATGGATGTTAAGTTTGATTCTTCTTCCTCCTTGTGAAGTCAGAGCACACCAGAAGTTACACCTTTTTAAAACTAAGGATTTTCATTTTATGACTTTGGATACACTAAGCTGAACTCATTATACATATCAGTGCCTTGATTTTGAAAGGTCTACATGGACTGAGGAATCGAACATGTCAAAAACCAAGACATTTTCCCAAATTATTTCACCCACATTCCTACACTGGACCCTCATAACTTTAATATTTCAATTTGAATCTAACATGAACATTATTGGCGTACTTCCCCCATCCCTTCTTCCCATGTCTACTTGACACCCTACACTGGCAGGGGCTACAGGAGTGGTTAGGAATATAACTTGCTCTGTAAGATGTGTGGGTTTACATTACTTGATTACATGGGTCCTGGAGCAAATCGCCCCTCTTCCTTGTGCTCCCATTTCCTTATATGGAAATTTGAAATAATAACAGTACTTAGGTCATAGGGCTAGTGAGAAGAGTTTGATCAATAAAGGAAATACCTGGTCGGTGCTCCATCACCACCAACATCCATTATTTTGCTAAATATGTGCCAGAGCACCTTCTCACAGGAACATCAATGTTTTCATTCACAACTCTACTCATTTTAGAAACAAAGACTCCTTCTTTTCCCAACCCTCAAACAAAATCCCTGTGATGATTGTGAGGGCCCAGCTGTGTTGTCTTCTTGTACACACGTTGCTATGAGTCCAAAGTGGCTCAAATACACATGACAACCACCACCACCCCGGGAAGGAAAGAGGGCCAGACCCTGAACTCTGTCCCTGTTGCAGAGCCCGTCTTAGACTTAAAGGCTGGGGACATGGCGTGGCCTCGGGAAGAAAAGGGAGGTGTTTGGACCACAGAATCATCTCAGGGCAGAAGGGCGTGTGCAATTGCAGGGACATGCAGGTTTAGGGACAGAGGTGGGACTGAACCCTGGCTCTGCCCTTACACACCCAGACTCGGATGGATTACTTCCTCTACGTAAGCTTCCATTCCTCTCCTCTGTGAACAAACCAACCAAATTCACTTTCATCAAGTAGGTGCTGACTCACCATGGACCTATATGACAGGGTAGAACTGCCCCTGTGAGTTCCCAGGACTGTAACTCTTTATGGAAGTAGAATGGCCCGAAGGGCCTGTCTTTCTCCAATAGAGCAGCTGGGGGATTTGAACTGCTGATCTTGTGGATCACAGCCAAACATATACTAATATCCCCACTTTGCAGGGAAATCTTCAGAATCAATGATCATACAGCAGGCACTTAACACTTGTTTATGTTCCAGGAACACCAGTGGAAGCTTCCTGAGTCCGGAGCCACCATTTGCAGATCAAGGGGACCAAGTCTCTGCAATTCATGAAAGTTCCCCGACTGAACCTCCTGAGGACTACGTGCAGATTGTGATCCTGACTACTCTCACAGCCATCATCGCCCCATTTGGGCTGGCAGGAAACACAGTCGTGGTCTGGCTCCTGGGTTTCCGTGCACGGAGGAACCCCTTCTCAGTGTACGTTCTCAACCTCGCAGTGGCCGACTGCCTGTTCATCTGCATCATGATTATATTTTCCCTGATTTGGGTCATCAGGTACCTCCACGATGTCTCTATTTCCTTCGACGTCAGTTATAGCCTCAGCAATCTGATACTGGCTCCCTATTTCACAGGCATCAGCATCCTCAGCGCCATTGGCACCGAGCGATGCCTGTCCATCCTGTGCCCCATTTGGTACCGCTGCCGCCGCCCAAGTTACATGTCAGCTGTCATATGTACTCTGCTCTGGGCCTTGGCTCTGATGCTGACCTTCTTGCAATGGATCTACTGTGAGATCTCCCGGTATTGGTGTCTGTCATTTGAGCTTTTCCTTTCGGCCTGGCTGATTTTCTTATTTGTGGTTCTCTGTGGGTCCAGCCTGGTTCTGCTGGTGAAGGTGTTCTATGGCTCCCGGAGGAGGAAGATGACCAGGCTCATTGTGACCATTCTGATCACGGTGTTGGTCTGCCTGCTGTGTGGCCTGCCCTTTGGTATTTTTGGGGTCATATTACAGGGTAGTCATACTGTATTTCTTTATTTCTGGTCTCTGTTTCTCTCCTGTGTTAACAGCAGTGCCAACCCCATCATCTACTTCTTCGTTGGCTCCTTTAGGCAGCGGCAACGACTGAAGCCGACCCTCAGGATGGTTCTCCAGAGGGCACTGCAGGACAATCCTGAGAGGGAGGAACCTGGAGGAGCTCCCCCTCGGGTGTAGTGCTGAGAGCCTCTGCTTCCGCCAGAAAGTTGTGTCACTGGACTCCACTTTGTCCCTAGCAACCTGCATGATTTTCTTAATTTTCTCTTCCTCATACCTCTGATCATCACATGAGGGAGAGACTTCCTCTTTGTGATGATTAAAAAGGAACATACCTTCCAAACAGAACAAAGCTGTTTTCTATTCAAAAATTCATGTCAGTATTTTTCACACTTTCTTTTTAAGATTGCATTTTTTTCCCTTCCTGGATTCAGTATTTTCATTATGATTTTACCTTAAGACTATGTTTTAGATTTCTTAAAAAGCTGATCTACTAATCTTTCTGGGTGATTCTGAGGGCTACGGGTGGCGGATGGAAAACAGAATTTCTCATACTGTCACCATTTGTCAAGAGGTTATCATATTTTTTGATCAATGAATTTGATAGGAATGTTTTAAAAATCTGTCTACGCTTGATAATTTTCTAACTTATGATGTCTATCTCAATAAAATTATAAGAATTACAGTTTAAAATAGTCTCCCAAATTTAGTGTTCAATTGTGGCATTCCTAATGATAGCTTCCTATTTAAATAAATGTTTACAGAATAAATCAAAAGATATATAGAAAAAAATATAGCCCCATGGACTAATGGGCTAAGAGACAGCAGGCGTCACAATCCTGAGGCTAAACGTAAATGGTGTCCAGCTCCCACTATCTTCTGGTCAGGGTCACATTGGGTGACCTTTTAAAGAATGGAAGAAGAGTTGGAACAGAGTTCAAAAAAAATTTTTTTTTACATTTTCATAATGTTTTTCTTTTTCTTTTTTTCCCTTTTCTCTTTTTTAAGTTGGAAGCTGGTACAACTCTTATCACAATCCATACAACCATCCATTGTATCAAGCACATTTGTACATTTGTTGCCCTCATCATTCTCAAAACATTTGCTTTCTACTTGAGTCCTCGGAATCAGCCCCTCATTTTTCACCACCCTCCCTCAAGAACTCTTGATAATTTATAACATTATTATTTTGTCATGTCTTACACTGTCCAATGTCTCCCTTCACCCACTTTTCTATTGTCCAGCCTCCAGGGAGGAGGTTATATGTAGATCCTTGTTATTGGCTCCCCCTTTCTACCCTATCTT